ATATTATATACTTGGATTTTTAAAAAAATCCATTCAGCCACTCAATGTCTTTTGATTGGAAAGTTTAATCCATTTACATTTAAAGTAAGTACTTACAGGGAAGCACTTACTACTGCCATTTTGTTGGTCGCTACCTTGTAACTCTTTCGTCTCTTTTCCTTTCTTGCTGTCTTCCTTCGTATTTTGTTGAATTTCTGGTAGTGACATGCCTTGATTCTTTCCTTTCTTTTGTGTATATTTATAACAATCTATTTTAAGCTGGTAACAACTTTGATCACATACAAAAACTCTACTCTCTTACTTCCCTATTATTTGATGTTGGTGTCACAAATTACATCTTTTTATATTGCGTATCCATAAATATATTTTTATATAGTTATTTTTAATAGTTTTGTCTTTTAAGTTCTATACCAGAATTACAAGTGATTACATACACACATTACAGTATCCTCTTTGTCTACAAATATACCTTTTCCAGTGAGCTTTATGCTTTCTTATGTTGCTTCTGTCTAGCATCTTTCACGTCAACTCAAATGACTTGTTAGCATTTCTTTTTTTTCTTTTAACAGTTTTTACTGATTTATAATCATTTTACAATGTTGTGTCACGTTAGCATTTCTCGTAAGCAGGCCTACTGGTGATGAACTCCCTAAGCTTCTGTTTATCTGGGAATGTCTTAATTCCTCCCTCACTTGTTTATGCCAGAAATAGTATTCTTGATTGGCAGGTTTTTTTTCTTTTATTCTTTTAGCACTGTGAATATATCATCTTACTCTCGTTTGTTCTACATGGTTTCTGCTGATATACTCACTGAGAATCTTATGGGAGATCCATTATATATGACAAGCTGCTTTTCTCTTGTTGTTTTTACAAATTCTCTTTGTCCTTTTGACTTCTGACAATTCGATTATAAAGTGTCTGGTCCATCCCATCCTAATTGGGATCCATTTTCCTTCTGGGACTCTCGTAATGCATTCATTGGTCGACTTGACAGTGCCCCTTATGTTCCTTAAGTGTTCCTCGTTTTTCTTTTTGCTCTTTTTTTGTGGGGTGGTGATTTATTTATTTTTTGATGGAGGTACTGAGGATTGAACCCAGGACCTTGTGCATGTTAAGCACACACTCTACCAGTAAGCTATACACTCCCCCTCTTTTTGCTCTTCTGACTAGACAGTGTCAAATAATCTGAGTTCACTGATTATTCTGCTTGATCAAGTCTGCTGTTGACCCCCTCTAGGGACATTTTCAATCATTTATTGTATTCATCAGCTCCAAATTTTGTTTGGTTCTTTCTTTTAGATATTTTCTCTTTGTTGATATTCACATTTTGTTCACACATGGTTTCCCTGAGCTTGTTGAGCTTCTTTATACAGATTATTTGGATTCTTTGTCAAGTAATTCATATACCTCCATTTCTTTAGGGACAGTTTCTGAATATTTTGTTTCTCTGGTTGGATCATGTTTCTTTCTTTCTTTCTTTCTTTCTTTCTTTCTTTCTTTCTGTTTGTTTAAGTATGGTCACTTTACAATGTGTCAGTTTCTGGTGTACAGCATAATGCTTTAGTCATAC